AAGTGGTGCAGGGAGCGGGAAAAAGAAAGTGACAGCATGGTGATTGGCAACAAAAATCAGCTTCTCTGAGATCTGGAATTCAGACACCAGAAATAACCTATCAAAGAAAAAAAGATAAGCAGACCTCAGGGAATCTGGAACTGGCTAAAAAAAATTAGAAGATACGGAAGTTGGAAAGGAGGCCCACAGTGCCAAGAAAAGAAAGAAGTAATTTAGACTCTCCCAGCACTTGCAGTTCACAGGGAAGGAATCGGAGCAGAGTAGCTCCCAGGACTGGAGAGAAACAGCAGCAGAGTTAACAGGCTTTGTCAACTGCAGAAGCAGCCTGGGCTTTGTTCCCATGGAACTCTTTCCACACTGTGAACACCCAGAGGGGAATGAAGTACAGGTTGAAGGAACAAAGCGACATCCTACCACAGAGTGCTTGATAAGGCACCATTTTGGGAAGGGCTTATTTAAATCTGTGATGCCGAACAACTAAACAGTTTCACTTCAGAGCTCCCAGATTTACCTTCCCACAGTGACTGCGTAAGACACAGTCAAAAGGATCAGCCATGGACTGGGAATATGCTAAAAACAGATGCCCTGTGAAATATAAGCTCAGGGCAGCCAAGGACATGGGCCCAAAGACCCACCCTCCACACTCCTATGGTGAGAAGCCAGACCCAGCTTGAGTGGTGCTCAGAAACAAGCGAATCTGAAAGCGCCTGCTGACATGAAGCCCTTGAGCCCTCATCCCACTGCCTGTATCCAATACAGATCTGAGGACTGATTTGCCTCGCCACCAACACGAGCAAGAACGCATCTCAGTATGGATGCTGCCACAGCCCAAGGAAAACAGGCCTCTGGAATAGGGGATGCACCTCACAAGCTCCCATGATGCATCATGTTAGGCAAAGAAAACAGACTTTCTGGACTCCAAAACTATGGCTCCTAGAAGGAAAACACTCACTTAAAAATACAAAGAAAAAAAAATTGGGATTTGCACTAATTTTTTCTTCTTTTTTACTTTTTTCTTCATAATTTTCATTCTCCATATTATTTTTTCTCCTTTTCCTATACCTTCTAGTTCTCATTTTTTTTCTGTTATCTTTTATCTAATCCTACAAATATCCTTCTGCTTGATAATAGGATCCTGCCTCCCTTTCCTCTTATCTCCCCTTGTTAAATTTTCAGTATTTTTTGGTAGCATTCTCCTATGTCTCAAAACCCTGTATCATTGTATTCAGTGAAGCCATCAAACTACATTAATTTTTAGGTAGTTAACTCTATTAACTAATGTGGAATTCTTTTTTATCATTAGTAGAGGATAATTGTTAATTTTTTCATTTTATGTATTTGGTACAGGGCCTAACTCCATAGCTCAAACTCAGTGATCCTCCAGTTTTCAACCTCCCCAGAGCTGGGATTACAGGCGTGCGCTATTGTGCCCTTACTCAGCTGCCTGCTCAGCATGCCCCAATGGTGGGGCCAGCCCAGCATGAAAGACCTGGTATTTTGTAGGAATTTGCTGTATGTCAATATTTGGTTTAAATTAAAGCTTATTCTATAATTTCAGTTTTCTAAAGTTAAGGATGGTGCATTATTTATTTTTATGCTATGTTAATACCCAGTTTGTCTTAGACAATATTACTGTTGCTGATTTACTTGATCTTGCCCAGGATGCATAATCATTGCTATTGATAGTTTTTCTTTGTGTGTCAATGCTTACATTACCTTCCTGACTGCATTACTGTAGTCAATGCCAGAGTTGTATAAGCCAAGGGTACTTCATATTGCCTTCCATATTAACCAAGGTGACCAGATCTTAGGCAGAGAGACACACCTTTAGCGCATTACTGAAATGCACACTACAGAGAGCTCTGTACCGTAATTCCTCAGCTCATGAGTGCTTCCATTCCATTCAGTTTGCCAACAGAAGCATTTGGCAACAGTTTGCTTCCATTTCTGAACTCCACATGCAGTGACAGACATGATTGAAGCCATCTTTCCCCCGACATAGCTTCTTCTAATTGACATTGCAGTTACGCACAGACCTGTGTGCACTTGCTGTGAAATCTTTTTGTGCATTTTCTTCAGCACATACAGTACTGTACAGTATTATTCAAGCCAGCAGATGGCAAAGAAAGTGCAGAGCAAGCATGGTGGTAAAATGAAAGTACAGAGCAGTAATAAAGATGACCAGAATGTGCAGAACAATAATGAAGGGAGGAAAAAAGTCTACAGCAAGGATGGTAAGAAACTTTTAAAGAAAATAGCCATTGAATTAAGAAGGAACTTGTAGAAAAGCATGAGGATGGTATTCATGTGATTAATTTGGCCTTAAAATACAAGATGACCAAGTTGACAATTGCAATTATTTTGAAGAGTAAAGATGCCACCAAGGAGCTGAGGTAAAAAAAAAAAGGAGTAACAGTGTTAAACAAGCAGAGGATGTAAGTGCTGGAAGAAGTGAAAAACTATTGTTAGTGTGGTTGAATGAGAAAGAGCTGGCAGGTGATAGATAGCATCAGCAAGGCTGTGATCTGTGAAAAGGCCAGGAAATTGCACAGTGATTTACTGCAAGAAAACTCCTCTACATGTGCAACAAATGATGCATTTATAACCAGCAGAGGGTGGTTTGATAAATTCTGCAAGAGAAATGGCATGCACAGTATGATAAGACATGGTGAGGCTTCCAGTTCTGACAAGGTGGCACAGAAAGGATTAGAAAACAAAGAATTCCTGGAGGCAGCAGGGTACATTACTTGACAAGTGTTCTATTTGATGAAGCAGGTCTCTTCTGGAAGACAATGCATATTTGAAAGTAACAGATTAAAAATGGATCAGTGAGATGTGTTGTGGGCTCACAGAAAATATAATTAATTGGATCATGAAGGTAATAAATCGATCAGGGAGCTTACAGAAAACACTAATAAAAAGCTAGCTGAGCTACACAAAGTTTTACAAAAACATGACCTGTTGAGCAGTGAACATAAATCTATTAAAAGGTTTCAAGCAGAAATCCAGAAGATTGGGGCTGGAGAGATGGCTCAGTGGTCTAAAGCACCTACTTGAAACAAGCTTGGCAAAGCACAGGGACCGCGGTTCGATCCCCCAGCACCACATGCCAGCCAGCCCCGCCCCCTGGTGGGCTGAGCTGGCCACACACACACACACACAATAAATAAATGTAATAAATAAAAATAAAAAATAAAAAAAAAAAAAAGAAATCCAGAAGATTAAAAATTTGAAAGTATGGGCAGCAGAAGTGACCAATATGAAGAATTAGAAGATAGGGATGCTGCATAGAGCAGTTATGTGGTAGTACCTTCAAAACAAGACAACATGAAAAGTGGATCCAACAGCGGCTAGATAATACAGTAAGTCCCTGACTTATGAACAAGTTCATGCAAACAGAATGTTCCGAAGTCAGATTCATCTGTCAGTCTGACAAAGTGAGTTTTATATACCTTTGACATAAATAGGTAATGCTTTAAAAAAACAAATATAAACAATGTATATTTACCTTTCCAGTTACCTTAAATTGGTGATACAGTGCAGTACAACCGTTAATAAACTATTTTCACCTTTATTTCCATGGTTACTGCCTTGCGCATCCTAGCAGCCCGTTCTGCAGCATCCCTGCTTATTCTCTTGCTTCTGGATGTGCCAGGCTCTGCCTGAGTACTGTACCACTGTACACCATCGCACTGGTGCGTAGTGCACAGCAGCGCAAGTATGAGGGTCTGGCAGACACGGCAACCACTTCCATGGTTAGTTCACATCTGTGAGTGTGCATAACTTAAGGTCTGTTTGCATCTGTGAAAGTTTATAATGCTAATGTTCATAAACCAGGATCTTGCTGTATAAAAAGCATTAATCTGAGCAGTTGCAATAAGTAGGAAATGAGAAGACAACACAAATGATAACGAATTTGTTTACAGAAATGATGGCAGGGGCCAGGGAGATGGCTCAATAGAATAAACGCTTGCCTGGCAAGCACAAGGGCCTGAGTTCAATCCCTGGTTCTGCAAAAAAAAAAAGAAAGAAAGAAAGAAAAGAAATGATGGCAGAAAACTTTCAAGTATATGGAAATAAGCATACGGCTAAGTGATGCATATAGAATTGCAAATAGCCACATTCAAAAGAGAAGCTCTCCCAAATTGGTCAGGCAATGGCCGTGACTCATCCACATGGCTGACAATTACAAAAGATCTACAAACTGCTGTACATGGTTTCAGGGTAAATCCTGAGGGGATTTGACTGACCCTGTCAGATACAAAAGTTACATTTGTTGTTATCTAGGTCTTGCTTTATCTTGGTCTTATCCATCCAGCAGAAAAGTATAAAAACGAGGCATAAAAAGTAAAGCCAAATTAATATGCTGAGCTGTAAAAGGCTCAAGTCAGCAACTTCTGACATTGCCAGTCCTACGGATAACCTACTACTATTATGGGCTGTTAGAACATATTGGATTATTTGCTGAATTCACGCACCTACAATATTTGAATGGCAGTGGAACACCCATCTCTGACAAAACCAAACAAAAAAGGGCGATATAAATGAAGGACCATTTTGTAGTGGGAGAAAAAATATATCTACATATATATACAAAATAGGATAGATATGCAGCTACTTTCTCTTAATTCAATGACAAGATTTTTACTAATAAAATTTTTACTAAGTAAAGATTTACTTTAGTAAAGATTTTTACTTTATCTTTTACTTAGACAAGATATCATGTCTGCATCTTGTACTCTGAATAACTACTACGAATACAACAATATGCAATGTATTAATTATTGTAACTGTCCTACTAACCGGTTTTGCAAGTGTCTCATTGCTATTTCTTTCTCATTAAAGTAAAAAAAAAAAAAAAAAGAGAGAGAGAGAGAGAGAGAGAGAGAGAAACAGACACATCATAGTCAATACCAGAAGTCCATCACAGGGACAGAATCTTAAAAGTGGTTAGAGAAAAGCAATGAATCATTTATTCAAGTAAACCCATTAAAATTAAAAAACAATAATAATAATTCTAGCAGACTTATCAACACAAACCTTAAAGGGCAGAGGAGCTTGGGGTAAAGTGTTTCAAACTGTAAAAGATAACTTCCAACACCGACTTATATATGCTACAAAACTTTCTTTTAAAGTTGATGAAAAATAATGTATTTCTGTGACTAAAAAAGACCTCAAGAAATTCATGAGCATCAAGTCAGCTCTCCAAACATTTAAGGATGTCCTAGGAAGAGCAATAAAGTCAACAAGGCAAAAAAAAAAAAAAAAGCAGGAGGGGCATAGCTGGATTAATTGAAATTTCTTGTTTTGGTTTTCTGAGGAATCAGCGTACTGATTCGCCACATGCACCTGGGAGTGCAGGGATTTGGTAGTGTTCCCTCAGCCTCCCACACTGCTATCCCTGAAGACTGCAGCCGGAGTGCAGCTGTTGACAGGGAGGCGCTGGCTGTGTGGAGGGAAGTTACTGACGCAGCTGTGAACCGCAGAGGTGCTCTTGAAGAAGAATGCTTCAAAAAGGGCCTTGTGGCAGGACTAGAGCTGCACTGAAGACCCCGCTATCAACACAACAAGACAGCTGGATAGGGCAACACTCACAAGCTACAGCCATCCTTGCACCTTCTCTCCATTCTCCTCTTACCCACTGTCAGCCACTTCCTACCGCCTAACCCATGTCCACCTGTCCCTTCTTGCCATCACCAAGGCCACTGGTCCCTATTTCATAAACCCAGAGATGAGTGGGCCTCAACCCAGGAGCCTCTAGCCAGCAGCACGGGCATCATGAGTGCGCTTTATAGGGCTGCAAAGACAAGCAAGGTCTCTGGTGACCAGCCCACCAGGGGTGTGGGCTTAGTAAGCTGTCCAGGTGACCGCCGCACAAGTGAAGGGTGAGCACCAGAACTGCAAAAGAGGGAGCCCTGGGGGCAGGGCTAAGACGCCTCGTACAGCAGTTCCGCCCTCTTGTACGGTCCCTCCCCCGTTACGTCTTCTAAGTTAACCACAGTTTCTCTGAAAACACAGCCCTTAATCAACTTCACTACCTCGTAATTGTGGAGGAGCCCAGCCTGCTAACTCATACCTGCTGAACTGCTGGTGCGTGAGCACCAGACCCTCCAGCCTGATGGAAAACCTCACGTCGCAGCTTCCGACCATGTTCTGAATTTTGAAATCGAGGAACCTGGCAGGGAAGCCCAGCTTCTGTACCACACGAGCATACTTTCTTGCTGCCAGTCGAGACTGTTCTTCACTGAGAGGGGCAAACAAGCAGGATTAAAGACATTGTATCTAAAAATGTATGTGCTACCTATAGGAAAAGACAAAAACAAAACATGCATACAAAAAAGCCACAATAAGAAATAAATGTGCTGAGTGGCACAAACGTGAAAACTTGTAAGCACCTAATACCTCTCCAGTTTTCTTTTTTAAAATGCTATGGGGGACCGAACCCAGGGAGCACTAAGCTTCATCCCCAGCCTGTTTAGAGACAAGATCTTGCTAAGTGCTCAGCTGGCCTCCAGTTGGCAATCCTCCTGCCTCAGCCTCCCAAGTAGCGGGGATTATAGATGTGCTCAGGTGTGTTCAGATTTTCTCACACAGCTGTCATTCAGCTTACACCCGGCATAAGGAAAAAACATAGTCGACTCTGCTCTTCAAGCATTTATCTTATCCTAACCCTAAATCCACATCAGAGAGTGTGAATTGCTAAGACTTGAAGCCGCATTTTCATTGGCTACTTTTCCACCGTCACTGGTAAAACAGCGTGAACAGCTGCAGCCCCACTCGGGAACACGGGAACACCTCGGGCTGAGCACAAGGGCTACCATTTCCCTGGACGGTGTCAGCCAGAAACTCTGGATCTAAAGCCAGTCTGAACCTGTGCTGTCTGCACCGCAGGTAGTGTGTGATCCTCATCTGGACCCTTCAGCAGCGCGCGGCTGGCCTGCCTGCACTCGTTGCTTCCATACGTCCCTCCAGTCCCATGATTCCCATCGCCGAACAAAACTCCTCAGGTGTCCCTAGCAGGGCTCTATCCCCAAGTTAGCAATAAACAGCTTCCATTTCAAAAAACTACAGTGTTTAACTGGCCTATTTTTCGTTAAATATGCAAGAATTTGCATAGTTCTGTAGTTTTGGGGGTATCAACTGAAGATAACACAGAAGTTTCTATGGAAACAACTAATAGTTAAAAGTCCACATTCAGGTTCATTGCGCAGATTTTAGAAAGTAGATTGAAACCCTGGAAATCTCACCAACAATAATAACCTCTTAGGATGTTGTACTTTTTCTAAGCAAATACAACAGCTTTCCTGTTGCTATGAGAATCAGACTAAGGTAAGCTAAGCTTTTGGCAATAATACTGGTTATCTCATTGCTTTTTTTTGTGTGTGTGTGTTTTTTGTTTTTGTTTTTGTTTTTTTTCAGAACTGGGGATTGAACTCAGGCCCTTGTGCTTGCCAGGCAAGCACTTATTCTACTGAGCCATCTCCCTGGCCCCAATACTGGTTATCTCTTACTAACCACATTCTCACAAGTTACTATCCAAAACTCATTAACAGATTTGGATGAAAGATATCTATAATAATCTAAACTCAGCCATTGATTTTTAGAAAGAAAACAAATTCAGATAGGAAAAGACCAGTATGAGCATATTTTACAATGAAAATTAGATAATAAACATACAAATTAGTTTGTTGCTGCTCAACAATCAATCCAACTCAACTTATTGTGAATATTGTTCTGACTAAATATATATGTATACACAGCCAATACAATTTCACCTGATGACTTAAAAATCAAAACTCTATGACTAGATATTTAATTTGGTTTTCCCTATTTTAAACAATGCTGAAATGAACACCTTTGCTTATACATTGCAAAAGTGTCCAATAATGATTTACAAGTAGAGATTTTTTGCATCAAAGATTAGAAGAAAAAGCCAAAAAATCTATTCAGATACATTTAAAGAATTTAGTCTCAGAATGAATTTTTTTATAAATGCATTGGGCAGTGATTGTTTGGAAAAAAAATGTGTGTTACATTGAAGTAAAATTCTAGACTTGCTCTATCCAGTTAGTATGAGGTAAATTAAAATACAAGGAAAATTAAATTTTCAGTCCCTCAGTTGTATTTGCTGTCTTCTAGGGCTCATTACCTATTAGCTCATGGGTACCCCACTGGTCAGCGCAGATATAAAACATTTCCACCACCCAGAGAAAGCACTACATAAATCAAAAGACCCACTGTCTTTCACTCAATATAAAGGAGGACCTGCAAAAGATCAGGAAAATATATGGAAGCCAATCTCCTAGTACAGCTTCTCTAACAGCAATGGGACTCTCATCTCTGACAAAACAAAAAAAGGGGGGGATATAAAGGACCATTGATATGTAGTGAAAAAAATACAAAACAGGATATACAGCTGCTTTCTCAGTTCAATGAGAAGAAAGGTTTTTACTAATATTGTTTTTTTCTCTTTTTTTTTTTTTTGTTTTTTTTTGTGGAACCAGGGATTGAACTCAGGCCCTTGCGCTTGCCAGGCAAGCGCTTATTCTGCTGAGTCATCTCCCCGGCCCCTGCTAATACTGTTTAGGTAAGATATCATGTCTGCATCTTGTCCTCTGAATAACCACTATGAAAACAATAATATGCAACGTATTAATTATTGTAACTGTCCTACTGTTTTGAAACTTTCATTGCTATTTTCTCATTAAAATGAATTTAAAAAATATGGAAGTCCATAGGTATATAAGTTATGCAAGAGAAATCTTCCTAGGTGTGACCAAATGTAGAAACCATAAAGGAAAACAATCAGATAGATTGACTATACAAGCAGAAAATTTAAGTTTTGTTGAAGGAAAGTTACTGCAAAACTATAAATAGTAAGCTACAAAAAATACTTACAGCATAAAATAGTAAAACATTTAAATGCACTAGTTATTGGGGCACATATCTGCAGTTCCAGCACTCTATGAGGCTGAGACAGAAAAGCTATGAGTTGGTTTTTCTGTCTTTGTAGTGGTTATTCAGAGGACAAGAACTTGGCCTGGACAACTTAGTGATCCAGGAAGACCCTGTCTCAAAACAATAACAAAAAGTAACTAACAAAAGATAAATATATGCATAGAATATTGATTAAAGATATACTAAACAATTTACGATTTTCATATGGACAGATACATAATCTTACTGGTAATTTTTGTCAATGGAATTGCCAAATATTTCATGAGTTTTTGTTTCTTTCATATTTGGGGGGTACAGTGTTTCAAACTCAAGGCCTTTGCACTGAGCTACAACCCCAGCTGTTCTGGAAGTTTTTTACTTTGAGACAAGGTGTCACACAGTTTCCTGGACTGGGCTTGAACTTGCCTCCGCCTCCCAGAATGGTAGAACTACAGATGTATGCAATCATGACGGGCTGGGGAGATGGCTCAGTAGAATAAGTACTTGCCTGGCAAGCGCAAGGGCCTGAGTTCAATCCCCAGTTCCAGAAAAAAAAATCATGACAGACTATAAATGGCAAAGGCAAGCAGTGTTGTTATGGTTTGTGTCTCATTGTCCCCCCAAAGCCTCATTGCAGTCATGAGATGGGGACTTCTAGAGTTTGAGATTAACTCATGATCCACTGGGATTATGGGTTTTAGTATTACTGGAATTATGGGTGTGAGTACTACACCCCACCCTGGGGCAGAGAGCCTGAATGTAATATAAGAGAGAGAGAGACTTTCTCTCTCTATTGCATTGTTGTTCCGCTGCCATGAACTGCTGCTCTGCCCTCTGCTGCTCTGCCTTGGAGCCAGCTGAGTGTGGACTGAAACCTCCAGGAACTGTGAGCTAAATAAACCTTTCCTTCCTTCATTTTGGGTGTTGGGTATTTGTCCCAACAACCAGAGAAGAGTTACTGAGACAATTGTGCATAGGAGAAAACAAACACAGCACACTGTGCTCAGCTGAGAATAAGCTGCCACAACCTTCGGGCAGAAGGCTTGCTCCTCATTTCTAACACTGATGAAGAGAGCAGCTCCCTGGTGTTCTCGGTGGTGTGAGAACATACAGCAGCCCCGCAGGAGATCCGGGAGAGGCAGGTGTTATCAGAGATTTCTTGTGGGCCAAGGCACAGGAAATATCTAACTCAGAAAATTCTATCTACTGATCCACAAAGAAGAAAATCCACAGAACAGCTTCTCCATTTACTACATGCTTTTCACTTACAATTTTTCAAAGTCACAACATTCTTTGTCATTCCTGAAGCTTTTTAAAAATTGTAATTCACCCTATAAATAGCTGTAATGGCTCAGTTAACTCCCCTTGGCTTAAACAGAAGTGCTATAAAATGTGAGGTATAACTCAGTATTATAAGACTGAGTGATCTTAGCTCATAATTTGGCATTTCATGAAGTTAACTATTCAGCTAAGAAAAATGTTTTTTTTTCACAGTGAACTGCCTGCCTAGGAAGGTTTGGGGTGCTCCTACATACCTTTTGGCTCCTGTGCAGACCATTTTCCCAGAGCTGAAGATGAGCGCTGTGGTCCTGGGCTCCCGGATCCTCATAATGACAGCAGCAAACCTCTTTTCAAGGACACCCAAGAGGAAAACAACAGGAAGTGGGAGAGAAAGCACCTCTGTTAGGAATTAACACTGATCCAGCTGAAAAGCTATGCTGACTAGGAGGACAGACTGAAAGCTGAGATTGGAAAGCCAACCAATGTCTACATCTGTTCTCTCCATGTTAACAAAAATAATTTTAGTTCTAAGGTATAATTTTAATAACAAGTAAATAATTTTATCAGCTAAAATTTGAGTATCTATTATGCTGTAGATCCTGTAGAACTCTGTAGGGTTTTTTTCTCACAGAGTTAAGTGGTTATTTAACCTCCAACATTACACAAGAAATGATGAAGTTAGGAAACCACAACTACTCAGACTGTTACACTGACATGCTTCCTTTTTCTTTCAAAGAATCTTTGAATAAGAAGTACAGCATGGGGACAGCCAGATAGCTCAGTGAACTAAAGTGCCTGTTTAGGCAGTCACAGAGGTTGGGGTTCAATCGCCAGCTTGCTGTGCAGGCCCAGCCCGCAGGGCCTGCTGAGACGCAGTTGAGTCTAGGTATGCATGCGCCTGTAATCCCAGTGCTTGGGAGGCTGAAAACAGGAGCATCACTACAAGTCCGATCTAAATACATTAAAAAAAAAAAGAAGTACAGTGTGTCATAGGCCCCCAAGACTCTTAAGAGGTACCAAACAAAACCCAAAACAGTGTATATAACGCCAAGCACGCTGATGATGAAGGGGAAAGCTCTTTGTCACGTGCTTTCCACAATACTTCTCAGAGCATGTCCCCAGCCCAGCAGCACTGGTGAGCCCTGCAGGTGATGCTGCAGGATAAGGCCTGAGAGCCACCACACTGCCCCAGCATCTCATGGCCTGCTGCTCCTCCTGTGTTCCGCAGCGTCCTCTGGCACTTCTCTGTGCAATCAGCTGGGAATGAAACTGGGATGGCATCATGTAAGGATACATAGCTGGTCTTTGCTACTCCACAATGTCATGGATCCTTTCATGGTCACACCAGCAATTTCAGATTAGAGTATAAACCTATACAGAACCCCAAGTCCTACAATATACTCAAAGGTAAACTCACCTGGTATTCATTTTGTTAAACTCTTTTGTTGTTTTTGTTTTGAACAGGGTCTCACTGTGTAGTTCAGGCTGCTCCTGAACTTCCTGTGTAGCCCAGTCCAGCTCGAACTTGCAGCATTCCTGCTGCCTCAGCATCCGAAGTGCTGCAGATGCAAGTATGCATCATACTTCCTGGCCATGTTGTTAAATCCTTACAGCAGTTTAGGTGCCGTGCCAGAATTCCTTTGAGTGTTAGGTACAAGATCAGACCCTATTTCCCCCACAGACGCAACCAAGGAAAGGAAAATGAAATGCAGGCTCAGGATGGTGGAGAATATGCTTAAGATACCAGCTGTCTGTGAAAGCCGCAGAGAACATTTCTCTCCATTGACGCTCCTCAGACGCATTATACATCATCGGTCGCTTTCCTCTGTGGCTCCATAATCTCCTTGATCAGAAAATTTGGGACACCACTGAGCTACAGGATGTTGCAGTCCAGGTTCTCTTATGTCCTGAGTTCTCCCTGACCTTGAATGGCTAGGGCCAAAATGTTGGCTATCCTTGTAGCCCTTCTTTTTCTCTAATTTAGGACTACTGGACTATATTGGATTATTTTGCTGAGTTCATGCACCTACAATATTTAAATGGCAATGGAATACCCTTGTCTGACAAAACTAAACAAAAAAGGGGGATATAAATGAAGGTCCATTCTATAGTGAAATCTATGTGTGTGTGTGTGTGTGTGTGTGTGTGTGTGTGTGTGTGTGTGTATAAAATAGGATAGATATATAGCCACTTTCTCTTAATTCAATGAGAAGATTTGTACTAATAGTGTTTGGACAGGATATCATGTCTGCATCTTGTACTCTGAATAGCTACTACCAAGACAATAATACGCAATGCATTATTATTGTAACTGACCTACTAAACTGTTTTGAAACTGTCTCATTGCTATTTGTTTCTCAATAAAATTTTAAAAAAGATACTGGCTGTTCACTATGGCGATCTGCTGCCCTAAGAACTGTAGCTCATAACTGTATTTCTGTCCTCATCACAGCCAGCAGTACAAACTGTACGAAAAAGAAATCCTACATTGTTTGGATGACATTAAATTCAGAAGTCAGCACAGAATAAAAGCAAATTCTTGATCCCCAAGTGCTGATGCCTGCCCTGTAGGCGCTCCTCGACCTGCCCTGAACCTCTGAACATTTCCCCAGACCAAGCCGTGCTCCACCTTGCGCCCCCAGCTTGAGGCTTGGCCCGTCGCTGGGTATCAACCTGTTTAACAAATCCCATGGGTGGCTGCCTGCTTTTCCTTATCAAACTCTGAGGAGAAAAAAAAAAAAAAAAGAACAAAAACCTGTGTGTAACTTTAGTAATTGGAATTAAACTATTCAGCTTTCTCAAGTAAGGCAACTTGCGAAGGAAAAGTACCTCAGTGTCAGCCAGGTGGAACACCATTTAGAAACAAGTGTTTTCAGTAAGATGATGGCATTAAGAAAGCCAGGATCCTGGCTGGCGAGATAGCTCAGTGGTCTAAAGCACCTGCTTACGCAAGCTTACGCAAGCATGTGGGGACCTTGGTTCGATCCCCAGCACCACGTGCCATGCCCCAGGGTGGGCTGAGCTGACCATTAAAAAAAAAAAGAATAAATAAATAAAGGAAACATTTAAAAAAAAATAGAGTATATAAAAAAAAAAAGAAATCCAGGATCCCAGTAGGCTAAGAGAGAGTCATACTGAAAGATCTTGACCGACAAAAATATGAGTTTTATTATTTACTTATTTTTATTATTATTTTTGAGACAAGGTCTCACTTTGTAGTTCAGGCTAGTCTTAAACTCATTATATAGCCCAAAATGGCCTTGACCTCAGAGTGATCCTCTTGCCTCAGCCTCCTGAGTGCTGGGATTATGCACATACCGCCACGTCCAGCTTTTAAAAAAATTAAGTTTATGGGTACCTTTGAGGTATACATATGGATTGCATTCATAAGGAACTTGTACCTGTACATAAAACTTGAGGCTTTTCCCCCCACTTTGTTACCTTCCTTCAGTCCTTCTTTCCCTTATTTACAAAAGCTTTGTTTCCATCTTTTCTTTCTTTTCTCACCATTTCCACCCCCCACCCCAGCTTCCCTTCCCAGTTGAACATTTTCTATTTCATGATATTTGTTATACATTGTGATCCAGATTTACACCTTAAGTTTCTCATACCAGAGAAACGATGTGGTATTTACATTGGTGCATCTGATTTATTTTACTTAAGAGAAAGCCTCAATGTGCATCCCTTCAGCTAGAAATGCCTCAAGCTTTCTTTATGGCAGAGTTAAACTCCTCTATTTATTGGTATTGTTTGAGACAGAGTCTCGCCATCAGTTCAGGCTGGCCTGGCACTCACTTTGGAGCCCAGGCTATTGTCAGACTCACAGGGGTCCATCCTCCTGCTTCAGCCTCGCCTTGCGAGTGGTAGGCTTACAGGTGAGAGCCAGCATGCCTAGCTGGATCTCACTGTAAAATAAATAAATAAAATACATCTTTATCCATTCATCAGTTGATGCACTACACCCAGCTTTTTAAAAAATCTTAGGGTTTTGTTTTGTCTTTTTGAGACAAGGTCTCTCTATGCAGTTCAGGCTGGCCTTGAACATACAGGATCCACCTGCCTCAGCCTTCCCAATGCTGGGATTATCTCTTGTGCCACCACACCCAGCTTAAAAACCTTAGTTTTTTGTTTTGTTTTGTTTTTTGTGGAACTAGGGATTGAACTCAGGCCCTTGCGCTAGCCAGGCAAGTGCTTATTCTACTGAGCCATCTCCCTGGCCCCAAAAACCTTAGTTTTAAAAACTACTAAAATAAAAGCACCTGCAAGCAGGCGCAGGGGTCAGGGGTTAGATCCCTGCGCCTGCTGTGCTGGCTCCGCCCCTGGGGCACTCTCAGATGGCAATTGAGACTGGGCGTGGTGGCACATGCCTATAATCCCAGCACTTGGGAAGCTGTAAACAGGAGAATCACTACGAGTCGAATCTAGTAGTTAGACCCTGAAAACCCTGTAGACCATTCCCTAAAATACAGAAAAACTGCTAAAATATTGATTTATTCAGCACAATAAAATTACTTCTTACAACTTCAAAACAGAAAGTGAGATACGTAAATTGTTAATATTGCCAAAACCTTTCACTAAACATTTTTGAAGAAAAAATAAAAGAATGAGTCAATATCATAATCATAGAAAGTAAATTAAAGAAAAGTGAAATGGGACTGGGAAGATAGCTTGGCAGTCTAAGCTCCTGGCTGGCAAGTGCAAGGACCTGAGGTCAATCCCTAGTACCATATGCTGTGCTGGCCTGAAGTGGGGCATGGTAGAGCACCCCTGTAATCCCAGCACTGGGGAGGCCGAGACAGGAGGATCACTGAGTCCCAACTGTGTAGCAAGACCTTGGAATATATAAATAAAAATTTAAAAATGATAAAATTCACTTTAAAAAAGTGAAATGCTTGAAAGAATACTAAGAAAGCTTACCTTCGGGTTATATTCTGCGTTTTTAGCGTGCAAAGCTATTTTCTTCAGGTCCAACTTACAAGCCAGGTTCACAGTGGAAACTATGTTCCTAAATAGATAAGTCCATTTAGAAAATGACACAGGATGGAATTTTAAAGGCAAAAACCTATTCACTCCCTTATTTCATAGGTTATACCCTTGCCACTTTCTGAAGGGAGAATTCTTCTCAGTGTGAAATATACAGTAAAATGGTCCTTGGTAAGGTATGAAATCCTAAATGTCAAAATGACTTTTTCTGAAATTTCATGACTGAAATTGTTTTAAACCTTAAAAAATTGCTATGCTTCAAAATAGAAATCAAAATTTCTTTCTTTCTTTCTTTTTTTTTTTTTTTTTGCAGAACCAGGGATTGAACTCAGGCCCTTGCGCTTGCCAGGCAAGTGCTTATTCTACTAAGCTATCTCCCCAGCCCCAGAAATCAAAATTTCTAATCAACCTGCAAATGAAATTCCATTTTACCTCTTTATACCTTTTGTGTTTACCCAACCATAACCACAATTTTCAGCAACTGCAGTGATGTAGTATAAACAAGCCGTCCTTCAAGAATGTATTAATTCCTTACCCTCTCTTAAGGGTTCAATAATTAGTGCTTCATTTTACAAATAACCAAACTGTCTAAAAATAATTATACATTGAGGGCCAGTGAGAGATAACTCAGTGGACTAAGCACCTGCTTTGGCAAGCACAGGGACCAGGGTTCAATCCCCGTTCCCACATGTCACATTGGCCCCACCCTGGGTCACACTGAGCTGGTGAACCAGTCCAGGTGGGGGGTGGCACACTCCAGTAATCCCAGCACTAGGGAGGCTGAAAACAGGAGGATCACTACGAGTCTGAGCTGCACAGTGAGACCCTGTACCAAATACATAAATGAAGATATGGAAATAAAAATAATTACACATTGAGAACTGATAAGGAATTCAGAAATTCTCTTTGCATTATTATATTGAAATTAGTTGTCATCACATTCAGGAATATGAACCATGTGTACCCAGAGGCACCCCTCATTTAGAAACAATGTAGTACCAACATCCTAATAAAAGAGGACCAAGCAAGAAAGACAGACACTCACTGGAGCTGAGGCACAATGCCGGAGCACTCTGAGGGAGGGGCCACTGGAGTCATGGCAGTTATGGTCAGTGGTAAGGCCCCTGGGACTGGTTTCTCAGGTGAGGGCTGAGCAGAGTCAGCAGTGGGCACAAGCAGCTGTGTCCAGGGATTTGATAAACAGTTGTTGTGAGAATCCAGCTCGACATCCTGCTCACCACGTGGTAGCAACTCATCTTGATGACTGTGAGCTGTGCAGTTTTCTTCAATTTCACGCTGGCTTCTACCGACAGTCTGGTCTCTACTTTCTTGAGTCAGTTCATCTGGTAGGAAGATAAGATCCACAGATGGGAACTCTCCAGCTGTTTCTTTGACTTCTTCAAGATGCGACTCCAGGGTAGTCTCTGGATTGGATGGATTAGGTGTGTACACATCACAAGGCACAACTGGGCTGAACAGAGGAGACAAGGCTGGGACAAGGCTGTCCTACACAGTTCCCAGAAGAGACAGACAACAACAACAACAACAACAACAACAAAACAGTGTTACACCAAAGGGACATCAGGCTGGTAGCCAAGCAGCGCCGAGTGGCAACTCGAGATTGCTCCTATTCATGCCTTACCTCTTTCTACAAAGTCCACTAGAGTATCACAGCATAGTGCATAAAAACAGGAAGGTGTGTTTTTAAATGCAAAGAAGACATCTGTTGCAGAACGCTTTTGGTGATTGTATGACATCCCTCCTAACTCCATCACTCTTCAATTTTGTGGAAGAAGCAATTGAACAACTATGTTCTGTATATTGTGAACGCTGAACAGATTCACTGCTACTTGAGTTAATTATATAAATTCAATTGATGGGATTTCCACTTTTACATTCATATTTTAGAGGAAAATGTGAAGGTAAAATATAGTCTTGAATGCTAATATTCAAGATGACCCTGCATCATTTTTTTTTTTTTCTAGTAAAGGGATAGATAAGAAAACATTCCAGTTGTATGGATTCACAACAGGAAGACAAGTAATTTAAATGTTAAGATTAGTTTGGGCTGGGCTGTAGCTCAAGGGTAGAATGCTTGCGTTCACATGCATAAGGCTCTGGGTTCAATCCCTAGCACCACAAAAACAAAACAAAAAAGTTTTCCCCAGAGGTGGTGGTGTTTGTCTGAAATCCCAGCAGCTTGGGAGGGAGGTGAGCCAGAAGGATGGAAAATTTAAGCACAGCCTGTACTTTTTTTTAGTAATTTTTTGAGAACCCATCTCAACACACACACACACAAAAAAAAAAAAAAAAAAAAAAAAAAATTAAGGGTTGGGAATGTACCTTGGTGAAGGCCTTGTTTTCTTTTTTTCTTTTTCTTTTTGTGGTACCAGGAATCAAACTCAACCTCATACTTGCCAGGTAGGTGTTATGCCACTGAGCTATATACCAGCCCAAGGCCCTGTTTTCTATGCCTGGTAACAACACACACACACACACACACACACACACACATTAAGTCAATGTGTAGTACTTCTGGTCTACAGAGGAAAGATGGTGGGGTCATAGGGCGGTAAGGGAAGCAAGCAGCTGCTATGAAATTCATGGGTTCTGTCTTTGAAAAACCCCACCTCCTTGCTGTGTACATTAGTGCCCACTGGCCAGACGACCTGCCCCCAGATCTTCTGCACCCCAGGATACAGCTGCTTACACTAACCCGACCAGCTAGGCCTGCTGAATTGTTTGGCCTCTCCAAGCCCAGCAGAGGGTAGGTGACCAGTTGCTTGAAAGAAAACACTTGAAAAATGATACTGTTCTCCTGAAACGGGAGAAGTGTGTTCACCTGGAAGTGTGTTCAGGGAGAAGTGTGTTCACCTGGAAGCGTGTTGTGGGCCGTCCCTCCAGCTCCACGCCCCTGAGGGAATCCCTTTGCATTAAACACACCAGCAAGGGACAGAGCTGTCAAACCATCCAACATAGTCAGTGCTTGCCCTGGGAGCACGTTCAGCGCACCTCAGAGCCCCAGGGCCGTGCGCAGGACTCTTGAGCCTTCGCCTGCACCCCACCCTTGCCCAGACCCAGGGTCCTTGGAACCTGGGGTCGCTCCCAAGCGCTGCTCATGAGCATGCGCCTGTAAGACCCTTCTCGATGTGCCTGCCCCACCTGGCCTCCTGTGACCTCAGCAGGGCATGGCCTGTGCCTTCACGGCCCATGACAAATACCCTTACCACAAACTATTAGCCACCAACAAACAGTGGCCCTTTGGCTCTTTTTGAAGACACTGCGGTCTCCACTTTAAAGGTTTGAGACTGTCTGGAGCCTGCACAGGGTAGGGGCATGTGTGTACAGTCCAGGTGGCTGAGGCAGGAGGGTCTCTTGAGCCCAAGATCAGAGCCAACCTGGGCCATCTGGCGACAAGGTGGGCCCTTGTCTCAAAATGTTAAAAAAAAAAAAAAGACTCAGGACGAAGACCAGGGCTTCAATGCCCAATATCTAATTGCAAGTTATTTGGAAGAAGCCTCAGGTGACTCCAGTGGCCTCTTGCAACCCCAATCCCCAGGCACAGCCTCTCCAGCCGTCCTGGAGACCTGGCCGCGTCTTCATTGGCTGGGGTCCCCATGCCGGTACAGGCGAGTCCGCGACCCTCAGCACCAGGTTTGGGGCCTGGGCTGGAACCGGAACCAGGACCAGGATCGGGACCGGGACCAAGACCAAGGCACCCACCCAGGGACTCGAGTGGGGCTGGAATCACCTGGCTTGGGTCGCCCGCGGCTCAGACTCACCTGGGTAGTGCACGGATCCAAGTAGAGCTCCAGATAGGGCGTCCCCTCCATGGTCATGGAGCAGCCTGGCGTTCGTGCCCTTCATCCGCAGGCGCCTTTTATCCGCCGTGGGGCGGGGCTGGGCCACCCTGCCTTTATCCAGCACAGCTGAGTGGAGCTGGGCCTACGAGGCTAGTTTCCTTCAGCTCTTCCAATGAGCCAGCAGCACTGCAAGGGGGGTGACTCTTCCCAGCACGTGGAGACTCAGGGCTGGTCAGCCCGAGAGTCCTAGCTTCTCACTGCCAATCACAGACTTCACCTAAAGCCATCCAGGACAGAACCATGCTGCCCACACAGAGGGCCAGGTCGCTCAGGACGAGTGTGCACAACCGGATGAGAACGGGCTGGGGCCTCGTGTACAGCACTCTCTAGTAGAGGACAAGGTTGGGCTGCTCCTGGCTGTTCTCCCGCCCCTGCGTGGGCATAGAGCACTGTCCTCACACCTGGCCTGAGGCACAGGAAGAAATGGCCCTAAGAATTGGGTCACGAAAGAAATTTTACAGGACTTTTAATCAAGAATAAAGAAAACTTTTTTCTTTTTTTTTTTTTTTGCTGAACTGGGGATTGAACTCAGGCCCCTGAGCTTGCCAGACAAGTGCTTATTCCACTGAGCCATCTCCCCAGCCCAAAGGGAACATTTTGATACATCTGGAATTGTATAGAATGGTACATCATCTAATTTAGTGATTTATTTTTAATCAGATAGCCTGCCTATGAGGCACATGCCTAAACTGATCAATAACTATTGGCAGGCCAGGGAGATGGCTCAGTGGAATAAGCGCTGGCCTGGCAAGCACAAGGGCCTGAGTTCAATCCCTGGTTCTGCAAAAAAAAAGAAAAAAAAAAAAAAAGAAAGAAAGAAAGAAAGAAAAAACTGTTGGCTCCCAGTTTCGTTATCAGACTGTTGGAGACAATTATATCTTCCCAAGACACAGGCTGAAGCCCTAAGGCAGTGTGACCACTATTTTATAAGAGAAAGTTTGAACACGCAGGGGCACCAGGACCGCACACGTGCAGAGCAGAAAGTCAGATGGTGGAAGGAGACAGCAGTCGGGGTCCTCAGAAGGCTGCGACCCCCTGACCTTGACTTCAGCACCAGGCTGTGAACACAAGCACTTCTCCTCAGGCCTCTCCGAGGTGGCCTTTTGCTCCAAACTGAATAAAACACAGACTTATGACAGAGCACCCACCTCTCCTCCGGCTATGGGCTTCAAACACTAATCCAAGTGCTACATGATCTTGCAGCTATTATTAAGATCCGCAGTCAGCCGAGGAGGAAAAGAGATTGTGCTGACAATCTTCTTTTTTTTGCAGAACCGAGGATTGAACTCAGGCCCTTGTGCTTGCCAGTCAGCCTACCCAGGTGAGCCCTCAGCAGGGACAGCTGCCTCTCTCTGCTGCCTCCCTGACTACCTTCCTCAAGGGAAAGACAGAGCGCAAGGTGGATTTATCTGAGCTACATTCTACCTGCTGGCCTGGACGACGAGGTGGCCAAACTCCAAGCACCGCAAAACCCCTAGAGTGACTCAGAGTTGCCAGGAAGAAATGACATTGAACCTCAGTCCCCTCACTAGGAACTGGGTCTGGCCATCAGTGATGATAAACTTGGAAGGGAATTGTTCAGTGCGCCTGGAGACGTCGGTGTGATTACAGCCCTGTGTTACTGAGCAGCGAACCCGCTAAGCTGTGCCCAGACTGCTACATGCCTGTGGGCTTATAAAGACGGGTTTTGTTTGTTTCTGTTGTTGGTGGTTTGTTTGTTTTTTGAGATAGTCTATGTAGTTCAGCCTGGCATTGAAGTGAACGTCCTGCCTCAGCCTCCTGAGTGGTGGAATTAGGGGAATTCACCATCTCACCCAGCTTTGTTAGCAGTTTTGATTCTAACTTACTTTTGCTTTGAAATTTATAGTTTGTCAAAAGACAAACAAAACAAAAACACATACCAAAAAACCTTGTCCAGAAGTTACAATTAGGTTTTGTTTGTTTTTTTGTTTTGTTTTTTGAGACAAGAGTCTCACTGTATTTCAGACTGGTCTTGAACTCACTATGTAGCCCAGGTTGGCCTCAAACTCACATTGATCCTTCTGCCTTGGCATCCAGGGTGCTGGGATTACAGGCATATGTTAGCACGCCCAGCCTCCACTTTACTTTTTCTTAATTTACTATTGTAAAGATTGAGTGGATAGGAGTATGTGTAAACTTTTACCAAGTACTTATATGTAAAAAAAATACTGTCTTTTCTTTCATTTATTGCTATTAATATCTGTAAGTGAATAATGTAAAGTGAATTATTTCCACACTCATGAAGGGGTGTGTGTGTGTGTGTGTGTGTGTGTGTGTGTTTGACATGGGAGACTAAACCCAAGTCCTTTACCCCTTAATTTTTCTTTTTAATTTAGAGTTCTAAATTAAAGTGACTAGCTAGTCACTTAGAGACTAGCTAAGTCATTAAGTTGCCTAGGTTTTGTTCAAACCTGTGATCTTCCTGATTCAACCTCCCAGATGCTAGGATTACAGGCATGCACCACTACTCCCAGCTACAAAAGGTCTTCAAGAGGTCAGTTCTATGGAAAATACCTCTTTATCATCTCTCATGATAGAAAGTATCAACATGAGGCTTTGACTTGCTACCTACTTGAGTGAGGAAGTTGTAGGTAAAGATAAGAATTTTTCTTTGCAGGAATTATGCAAGTAATTTCTCCAACATTTATAAAAGCAGAGAAAGTATATCAGGCTATCACATGCTCTTTTATGATAAAGGAAGCAACTACAAAAGCTTTTATTTGTTCAAAGCAGCCAGTGCTATCGGTGCAAAACAAAAAAAATCCAACAACTCCCCCAAATACTACTTTGAAACCAACATATCAAACTTGATTTTCATTAGAATGATGTTTCTTTTCACACTAGTAAATCAAAACAAAGGAGATACATATATGTATATATATATATATATATATGTCTCAATTTGCATAAATTCTTGTCCTTCCATTCATCATTTGAAATCAAAATTACGTCTTGTCTCTCACACCTTCCCTTGTTGGTGGGTGAGGAGCAAGGATACTTGTGTCTGAGAAGGAGCCTGGGGTGGCTGGGTTAGGGATGCCAAGGGCCTGCTCAGAGCCCCTACTCAGCCTGTCTTGGCTTTTCAACTTAGAACCCTGAGAATCCCAAGTCATCCTGGCCCTCAAGTCATCCTGGCCCTCAGCTCACCTTGTTTAAAGAAAACAACAGACCAAACACATGAAGAAACAACACTGAGAAGATTTAGGAGGCAGTTTATTATACCAGCAGGCCTGACTGGGATCTCGCCCAAAGAGTTAGCATCCCACCAGGTGAGTAGCAGGGCTTTTGTGGGGAGAGCAAGCAGGGAGATGCAGAAGCAGATTTGGAGCATTATGCTTGGAGTGTTGGGTGATATCATGGGTTGCCAAGGAAGTTTAAGTATCTCGAGTTACACTGCAAGGCTGTAAGTTAGACAAGAATGCATTGCACAAAGGAAGAACTGTCCTATTATCAGGTTTTTCTGGACATGTCCATTTGGCTTTGGTGGGCATTCTTGGTAGGTTCCAGTGAAAATTTTAATTTCCTTTTCACTGTCACAGTGCCACAGCTCTCAGGCACTTTTGCACAAGGGGCTATATAGAAGAGTTATTGTATTTTAATTCTCCAGAATGGCTTAATTTCTATAAAATTAATGGCAAGAATTAGAAACTCATAATTTCTTTTCTATTCTCTCAGTAAGCCCTATTATATTTTCTCTGTGTGAATTCTCCCATCAGAGTTTCTACAGTAAAGGATCTGTGGGGTTTTGTTGTTGCTGTTTTCTTTCAATTCTGGGGATTGAACCCAGGACCTTACTATGAGCTACATCCCAACCCCTCATTTTATTTTTCATTGTAAAAGAGTCTCACTAAGTTTCGAAATTACCTAGGCTGGCTCAAACTTGTAATCCTCCTGCTTCAGCCTCCCAGTGCCAGGATTACAGCAGTGTGCCACCACACCCAAATAAGAATGTGTGATTATTTATTTCTATGGTTTTGGAGATTGAAGCCATGGCCTTCACAGTGAATTATACCTCCAGCTCATTTTCATTTTTTATTTTGAGTCAGGGTCATGTGAAATTGCTCAGGCTGGGCTGGAACTTCCAATCTTCCTGCCTCTGCTTCCCAGCACACGAGCTCACCCAACTAGATTAGATATTTTGTAAAGACATCAGAACTGGGCAGCGCAGTTTGTGAGCATAGCTTTGGCAGTTCTTGCCTGGAAATAGAATCATGTCAATCAGCATCATTTCTCAGCAACATGGGACTGCTTTCCTTTTCCTGCGCAGAGCCCAGCCTGGGAAGCCGACCCCGAGTGCCGCCACCCTCGCTGAGCCGGCAGCACATGCATGCTGAGTTTCACGGCATTCGCTCAGGAAAATGTCTGTGAGGACTCAGCTGCTGTCTATGTCTGGACTTTACTTTGTACACTCTGCTACGGTATGAGTCCTTGCAAGTGGCTAGGCTTGCATGCTGTATTAGGGCGATGCTGGAAATGAAGCCACAGTGGTCTTTCCCTCCAGAGAATTATATAATACTCAAACATTTAGCTCTGGTAGATATTCTCTAGTAACTTGAAGCACATTTACATTTACTAAATGAAATCAAGTAAACATCTGAGTTTGCAGCTGTTACCAGTCTGTGAAGGACGTGGGAAATTCGAGAAGGATGTTACTTTCATTTTTGCAGTTGTGGAAGGAGAAAATTTGCCTTTCCCATAGCATATCAGGAGGTAGGACAGTAGGATGGTGAAGAGCCCAGACTTGCCGGGTGTGATTGCTCAAGCGTGCAATCCCAGCACTCAGGAGTCTGAAGCAGGAGGATTACCATGAGTTCAAGGCCAGCCTGAACTACTGTAGTGAGACCCTGTCTGGCCCCCATCACCCCCTCCCCAAAAAAGAGGCCCAGTTTTGGCAAATAGTCTGCAGAAACTTTGGATAATAGCACATGAAGATTGTGAGTTCAGTAAGT